TGAGATTACTTCTGGAACTGTTAAAACAAGAGAAATTGTATGCCAAGATGTCAAAGTGTGAATTTTGGCTGCGAGAAGTTCAGTTTTTGGGGCATGTCATCTCAAAAGAAGGAATTAAAGTAGATCCACTCAAGATTGAAGCTATTGAAAAATGGGAAACTCCAAAGACTCCAACTGAAGTCAGAAGTTTTCTTGGATTGGCTGGGTATTATCGTAAGTTTATACACGATTTCTCTCGTATAGCTACTCCATTAACGAAACTAACCAAGAAGAATGTGAAATATGAGTGGGATGAAGCACAAGCTCAGGCTTTTCAGATGTTGAAGGATAAGTTATGCAGTGCACCAGTTCTATCTTTACCAGATGGAATGGAAGATTCTGTAGTTTATAATGACGCATCAAAGATGGGTTTGGGTTGTGTATTAATGCAACGGGAAAGTAATAGCTTATGCTTCTAGACAGTTAAAAGATCATGAAAGGCAGTATCCTACTCATGATATGGAATTAGCGGCAGTAGTGTTTGCTTTGAAGATATGGAGACTTTATTTGTATGGAACGAAATGCCAAATCTTCACAGATCATAAGAGYTTKCAACATCTRTTCCATCAGAAAGATCTGAATATGCGTCAGAGAAGATGGTTGGAATTGGTAAGTGATTATGATTGTGAAATTTTATATCATCCAGGAAAGGCAAACGTAGTAGCCGATGCATTAAGTCGATAAGAGAAAAGTGGAACCATCAAAACTATAGCATTACGAGTTGAGTTATTACCCAGTATTCAAGAAGAGTTACGAGAATTTCAACATGAGGCAATGAAAGAGGATAAGATCAAACAGGAAAKATTGGGTGGATTAATATCTGATCTAGTGAGAGATGACAGAAAATTTTGGAAGTTTCAAAACAGAATATGGGTACCATGCTATGGTGATCTCAGAAAACGTATCTTGGATGAGGCTCATAAGTCACGTTTTGCGATACATCCAGGTACAAATAAAATGTATCGGGATTTGAAGCAACATTATTGGTGGCCAGGTATGAAGAAAGATATTGCTAAACATGTTGAGCAATGCCTGACATGTCTCCAAATAAACATTGAACACCAGCACCCTTATAGTAAGTTGCAATCTTTAGAAATTCCGGTTTGGAAGTGGGATCACATCACTATGGATTTCATAACCAAATTACCGAGAACATCGAAAGGGTATGATGCTATATGGGTGATAGTAGATCGATAATCTAAATCTGCACACTTCATACCTATGAAAGAATCATATTCGATGGAGAGATTAGCAAAATTATACATTGATGAGGTAGTGACACGACATGGTGTTCCTCTATCAATTGTTTCTGATAGAGATAGTCGGTTCASTTCTATGTTTTTGAAGAGCTTTCAAAGAGAAATGGGTTCGCAAATTAAGCTAAGTACAACTTATCACCCTCAGACTGATGGACAAAGTGAACGAACTATCCAAACTTTAGAAGATATG